GAGAGAAAAAAAAATATATATATATATAAGAGAGAGAGAGAGAGAGAGAGAGAGAGAGAGAGAGAGAGAGAGAGAGAGAGAGAGAGAGAGAAAGAGTGGGGGGGGAAGAGAAAGAGAGAGAGAGAGAGAGAGAGAAAGACTAAAAGAGAGACAGAGAGGCAAAAAGACATAAACGAGAGAAAGAAATACATTGATATCCTGAATGGAGACAAAGATTTAATAAAGAAATTTAGTTAAAAAATAATAATAATAACAATAATAACAAAACGATACCACTCACACCCTAGTTACATCTTTCTTGACGAAGTTTGCAAAAAAAAAGGGAAGGAAGAGAAGACAGAGAGAGACAAAAAAACCACCCCCTCCCCCTCCCCCTCCCCACGACATCCGTTCACAATAACCTTAGCAATCCGTCAGGAAAAAATAAGTCCACAAAGGGAAGAAATACATATCCTATTTTCTTACCCCTCCTCCCCCCTCCCCCCCCCAACCTCACAATGTCTCAATCAACTCCAAACAGAACCATTACGTTTTTTTTTTTTCTTCTTCTTCTTCTTCTTCTTCTTCTTTTCCTTTCTAAATTAACCCCTTCCCCCTTTCCCCTCCTCCCCCACCCCTTAGGGAAAGAAAATATAATATCCCCACCCCTTAAAAAAAAAGAAAAAAAAAAAAAAAAAAAAAAAAAAAAAAAACGAAAAAAAAAACTTCCGTGATTACAAAGGAAGAAATAAAGAAAGACATGATCCTGCAGATGACTTCCACCCACAACGGACTCCGCGCTACATCGGGCCATTACAGACCTATCATGATGTATTCCGGCAGAACGGAGAATTACCACGCGTGACTGTAACATTACTCGCGCCACTTTTATCTTTAGGCAGAGTTATCGGCCCTAATTTGGCTAAAGGAAGCCCGCCCATCATACAGCGGGGCGAGGGCGGGCGGACCTCCAACGCGTAGGATGAAAGGAGAGGGGAGAGGGAAGAGGGGAGAGAGATGGGATAGGGTAAAGGGGAGAAGGGAAAAGAGAGAAGGGAGAGGGGAGAAGGGAGAAGGGAGAGGGGAGAAGGAGTAAGGGAAAAGGGAGAGGGGAGAGGGGAGGGAGATGAAAGAAAGGAGAAGGGAGAGAGGTGAGGGGAGAAGGGAGAAGGGAGAAGGATAAGGGGTGAGGGGAGAGTGTAGACGGAAGAGGGGAAGAGGTGAACGTTCTGGGGAGGAGGGCGTGTCTAATGAGGGACGGGAGATCTGGGAATTGGGAATGGCAACGGGGGGAGGGGAAGGGGGGGGACAGGGTTAGGGTTTCCAGAGAAGAGAGTGGGTTCAGTAGCAAAATTATTTCATCGGATGCACATAAACTAATTTTCACACACACACACACACACACACACACACACACACACACACACACACACACACACACACACACACACACACACACACATAACAACCATAATAAGAAATTGAAATGAATCGAAACGTCAAGAATTCCTCATCGGACGGATAAATAATCGAAATAGAAACAAAGAACCTTGACAAGATTACGTATAGGCAGAGAGAAAACGCGAACAAGAGCATATTTTCTTTCATAAGAATCCGCAGATTTATGAATTAATGTAGTCTCTTTCCAGTTCAGCTGGTGACCTTCATCGCGTAAATGAATGAAAGGCATTCGATTCCCTGTCGTATCAGGCAACTTGGGACAGTTCTTGCAAAGAATAGTGTAAAATACCTGAAGTGTCAAAGGCACAGTTCGCCGCATGGTACAAAATACGTAACGTGTTCGGGTAACTAATAACAATGTCAATTCCCAGCTACTTTAAATAGGTAATGTTGTACGAAACTATTAATAAATTATTGACACTGTCATGCTGCCCACTACGAGAATGAGTGTAGAATTTCCATTTCGCAGATGAATGTACCTGATTTAAGGAGGAAAAAAACAGGAATATTCTAATTTAGCAATCGTTTCAAAAATTGTATCGAGCTCCATTTCGATGAATTTACTATCGCATATCCCATATGACCTAAGAACTATTGAACATACTACTATTGATTTTTAACATACAACGGGTGGATCGAGTAAAAAATGAAAGTAATTAACGGTGTCATTTGGTAGTCTTTTGCATTGTGTAACAGAATGGCGAGAAAAAGGTAATTTAACACATTCTGTTTTAAAATTGATAGTATGGACGAGGTTATTCAGTCTTATAAAAATCGAAATCCGGACGGTTCATTTGCTACGGAGGCCAGACAGAAAGAGTTCAGATTCGAATATCTCCACGTATAAATTCGGGCTTAGGCTATTTCTCAACGCGATGTTTAGATAAATAAGACTCCCTGACAAGAAATCGAATCTCTGCCACTCTAATTGTGACAGAATGATCAGTCTTAAACCAACTGCGTAATTTATCTATACCAATGCATCATTGCATTATACCATCTTTTGCAATTATGCGTGTGTGTACGTATGTATATATATATACATATATATATATATATATATATATATATATATATATATATATATATATATATATATATATATATATATATATATATATATATATATATATATATATATATATATATATATACATATATATATATATATATATATATATATATATATATATATATATATATATATATATACATATATATATATATATATATATATATATATATATATATATATATATAAATATATATATGTATATATATATATATAAATATATATATATATATATATATATATATATATATATATATATATATATATATATATATATGCGAAAAAGTTTGGACTTTATTCATAATATTCATGACTGCAAATCCCGGGTAACTGAAGCACCACTTTTTAAGATTAAGACAAATTTGCGGCTATTTCCCTTTTCTTCCCTTTACTTTTTCGCTATTTAGTTTTTTTTTACCCGCTTATCAGTGAATTATAACCATGCAGGGAAATTGTGCTTACCCTGATGTCTACTCTCTCTCTCTCTCTCTCTCTCTCTTCCTATCTCTATCTTTCCCTCCCCCTATTAAAAACCTCATACCCCCACCCCCACCAGCGCCCCACCTGCATGAGCGAACGCCCGTCTGTCTCCACGCACAGCGCCCTCCCGCGGCCCATCCCACGCGCTGCCAGGGCTCCGCCGAGGCCGCCATCAAAGAAAACGGGCGGCCGCTTCACCCGCTGTGACTGGGCCTCTTTCCCCGCCCTCCCTCCCCGGCCCTCCATCCTCGGCCCTCCCTCCCCGGCCCTCCTTCCCCGGCCCTCCCTCCCCGGCCCTCCCTCCCCGGCCCTCCCTCCCCGGCCCTCCCTCCCCGGCCCTCCCTCCCCGGTCCTCCATCCTCGGCCCTCCCTCCCCGGCCCTCCTTCCCCGGTCCTCCATCCTCGGCCCTCCCTCCCCGGCCCTCCCTCCCCGGCCCTCCCTCCTCGGCCCTCCCTCCCCGGCCCTCCACCGCCGCCCCTCCACCGCCGCCCCTCCACCGCCGCCCCTCCACCGCCGCCCCTCCACCGCCGCCCCTCCACCGCCGCCCCTCCACCGCCGCCCCTCCACCGCCGCCCCTCCACGCCGGCCCTCCCTCCACCTCCGTCGTCTGAATTCCCCCGAAGTTCGGGCTCCCGGGGACCGAACCGGCCATTAGACGCTGCTTTATGCATCACTTAAGTACAGCTCCCAAACCCAATTAATTAATTCTCATCTGATAGCAGAACATTAAGCGTGATTTAGAGCCAGATGGCGAGTTGAGTGTAAAATCAGGAAGTCAAACTTAATGATTTACAATCAACTGGCTTTGGGTAACTGCAAATTACCCAAAGCAGATTAACGGGCTCCTAATGATCCGCCGGGACTCCAGTTTCACCAAATTATAGATTCGCTGTTGTTTATTTTTTGCAAAGTGTTTACGTGTTTGGAGAAGGTTTGTTTATCCGCCGAAGGAATTCTCAGTCGCGCTCGCCAATCACCGGTTATTGCGATGATTGTGATGGATACCGCAAATTAAGCCTCATTTAAAAGGCGTTTTATAAAGTGGGTATTTCCATCCGATTGAAAACAGCGAAGGTGGATAACCAATATAAATTAATTAATGATTCGTTATCATAATAATTTGTTCCTTTGGAATTCTAAAACGATATAGGCAACGTTATACACATGCTATAAATGCAAAAATATGTGATTACATACAATTGACCAAAGTGATAGACAATTTACTTTTATTTCTATCCCTATGTACCTTTACCATCGTTTTATGAAAATCAATAAACCGAAACTAATTGAACCAAAATAACATGCTAATAATGAATAATATCATCCTCTCTCCCTCAGACTCGAAAGCCTAGTTTCCAGCCTCGATTAGAGAGAATCAGAAGACACAGATGATTACAACTTCGAACAGGTTTACAACGGGAAGCGCTTGCTCATACTGCCCCTTTCAAGTTCTGTGATCAAATAAAATGTTGTTGGAGGCGGTGCTGTCGTCTAGCCAAACACCTGCCACGCACGAGACTGGTTTTAGAGGAAACAAGTAGTGTTCCCTCTGCCAACATCTATATCCACTGGGAAACAATGCCTTTTCTTCATCTTGATTTGTTTCGGATATTGACATAGGGTCATGGGAAAAAAAGAGTTATTTTATTTCTCACGCCAAGAAGACTTTATCTTTATTCGCATCGTGCTGTCTTCGTTCTTCCCTTCTTTTCTCTTTCTCCTTCTTCTCCTCTTCTCCATCTTCTTCTTCTTCTTCTTCTTCTTCTTCTTCTTCTTCTTCTTCTTCTTCTTCTTCTTCTTCTTCTTCTTCTTCTTCTTCTTCCTTCTCCTCCTCCTCTTCTCTTCCTCGATTGCCTAGGCTTCCCTACGTGTAGGTACGCAATATGTTACTTCCACTCTGCTATTATAAGTGTAAATGAAACTTTGGCCGAGTGGGTGTGATCTCCCATCCTCGTTTCTCTTTGAACAGCACCCGTAATAACCTATACTCTCTTCGGAAATCAATTA